AGCCCGGCGTGATGGCGTTGCGCCGGGCCAGGGGCGCGCCGGGCGCCGGGCAGCAGCGCGCGCAGCAGGCGCAGCTCAGCTTGCGCAGCATCCAGTTGAGCACCTGCTTGATGAGGATGGAGACGACGTTGAAGAGCGAGTAGATGCAGCACACGCCGAGCAGGATGAAGAGGAAGTTGCCCAGGCGGTAGAGGCCCTGGTGGCGGTAGGCGGCGCGCTGGCTGCTCACCAGGTCCCCGAAGCCGATCGTGCTGAAGGTGACGAAGCAGAAGTAGAGCGAGTCCACGTAGCCCCAGCCCTCCACGCTGGCGTACATGGCCGAGGCGCAGCAGGACAGCAGCACCGCGAAGAGCCCCAGGATGAGCAGCACGTGGTACACCGAGGGCTTCCAGCCCGCCAGCCCGTCGGCCTCGGGGCGCAGCGGCGCGGGCAGCAGCCCGCTGCGGCGCAGGCGGCGCTCTCGGCACGCGCGCATCACGAAGGCCAGCAGCGAGATGATGCGCTCCAGGAAGAGGTTGAAGAACAGGATCGTCCCCGCGCAGCCGAAGAGCCCGTAGGCAATGAGGAAGGCTTTTCCGCCCACGGTGGCCGGCGTGGTCATTCCGAAACCTGCGGGGACACAGACACACGGGTCGGCGATGGCGGGGTGGCCAGGACGCGCGGGGCTGGAGCAGACGGGGCGGGAGTGGGGGACTTGCCGCCTCCCTGCCCTGAAGGTACTAGATTTGTTCCTGGTCCTGCTCTCTTCTGAGCTGATGGAGATCACGGGGAGGGGGTCACCAGGAAGGGCCCTGCGGTACACAAGCAGCAGAAGCTGTTTACAGGTGCACAGCCCCAGATGACAGCAGAGCCAAGGGGGGCACTTGCACCCCCACCCCAACTGACTTTTGAAGCAACCGTGGCACACTCGGTCGGGTGGCCTTTAAGAAGGACGGAATTCCTTGAGACTTTCACCTTAGCTGGGATTGCTCACTCAGGGCCCCCGGGAGGGTGTGACCAAGTGGCCACCGTCCATGGTCCCAGAAAAGGGCTTTATGAAGTCGACAAGAGGATCAAGAGTGCGCCCACCCACGGCCTTCAGAGTGCGACTCTGCCACGGAGTGCCAGCGCCTGCTCCGAGGACCTCCATCGATAACCCTCGCTCAGGCTGGCCCAGGGAAAGGCTATGGCCCAGCGGGTGCTGCCCGGGATCCTACCGCTGTGTGCCCTGGGCCCGGGCAGTGCTTACTACTTTTAATACTTATAATTCTTAGCCTATGCACTTGTTCAAAGCACTGGCTTTCAAGGTCTTTATCGATTGATTTCTGCGGAAGGCGTGGCTTCCTGCCAGTGTGCTTACCCGCGCCGTCCAGGGCACTGCAGAAGCGTGGCCCTGTCCCTCCTTCCTGAGCTCACTGTCCACTGCCGGCTGCGGTCTCCTCGTGGGACCCAGGGTTGCTTGACTGGTTACGGCAGGGGGTTTAATCTCTGGATGGGAGGATTCACTTGCTGTTTAAGCTGAACGTGGGCCTTTTGTGTGAGCAGCCCTGTGGCACTTTTCAGCACCTCTGGCAGAAAAACTTCAGAGTCATCCCCGCTAATTCCACCCCTGTGCCTTGCCACTTGAGTAGGGCCAGCCACAGGCAAGCGGGGAGAAGAGTTTGTCGGGTCTGGCCTAAACAGGCCAGAGAAACACTTCTTAGAATACTGTACTTTCAGAGTATATTTCTTAGGTGTATATGTTTAATCATTTCCTAGATTCCCTACAGGAAATGCCCAATTGCTTGACCATGGTATTCATCTTGTTTAATGATTCAAGTCTGGGGAAAATCTTAAGCTATTACCCATGTTGAAGAACATGAATTGTGTCCCTACAATCACAATTTGCCATAAAGAGTGGAAAAAACAACAAACTATCGGTACATCCTGGAGCTTGATAAAGGGATTTTTCTGTGGTTTTTTGTTTGTTTATTTGTTTTGAGACAGGTTCTCAATATGTGGTTCAGGCTGGCCTTGAGCTTCACTATGTAGCCCAGGCAACTCAGTGATAATCCTCCTGCCTCAGCCTCCTGAGTGCTAGCATTACAAGCATGTGGCACTGTGCCCAGTTACTTTATTTTTATTTTTTTTGCAGTACCAGGGATCAAACTCATGACCTTGTGCTTGCTAGGCAGGCACTTACGCCACTGAGCTATATCCCCAGCCCTGTGCCCAGTTACTTTAAAGGCAAACTCAAGTTGTTGAGTTCATGAAGAAATCAGCTCTGAACTTATATGGCTGTGTGTGGAGTGGGAGTATGTTTGTCAAAAGTACTAGACAGAGAACCCGTATGTCCCACAACAGAACCAAATCCCGGTCTATTCATTATAAAGCAATACTGTACAGTATGAAAAAGAAGGAACCACAGCTACTTATAACATGGGCAAACCTCCCCAAAAGAATGTTAAACAAAAGAAACTGGACCCAAAAGTCTACATCCTGCGTTACCCCATTAATAGAAAATCTGACATCAGGCAAATCCAAATGGCAGTATTTTTTAGGGGTGCATACTTGGTCAAATTATAAGGAAAAGTGAGAAAGTGATTTTGATGAAAGTCAGAGCTGGGAGTTCCTCTGGGTGGTGACAGGGTACATGGGGGCCTCAGGGGTGCTGGAGTGTCCTTTTGTCCTGGGTGGCAGTTACACAGGGGCTACCTGTGTGAGATTTGTTAAACTGTGTGTTTTATGAGTTTTCTGTACTCTGATGATAAAAGCTGTTTAAATTTGTAGGCTGTTAAAAGTGCAGCAGACCTTCATTCAGGTCTGCCCTCCATGGTGTTGGTGGGGAGGGCAGAAGGGATATGCCTTGTAGCTTGTTTGAGAACAGACCGGCATCTCTTTGTCCTAGTTTCAAGCCTGGTGCCTTAGACCAGCATACACAACACTGCTTCTATCCCTGGAGGGAAACAAAACCTCCAGTAGCAGAATCACTTTGTTAAATTCCTAAAGAAATTGAAAATCCTGAGTCCGGAAAATTAGTGCTTTGTCTTGCTAAGAAAATGTTGAGTGGGATTTTCTTACTCTTTAGGGTTTTCAGCTAAAGTCTCAAAGCTAAGAATACAATGTGGTTTGCGTCTCCCCACTGTACAGAGGAGCCTTAGACACATCCACGCGGGACTCAGGAAATCAGCAAAGTGTGTCTCCTGACCTGCACCCCCCGCCCCCACTCCCCGGGCTCTGCTGGAGGTCGGAAGTTGTCCCAGGGTTGGTGGTGATGGGCATGAGGTGGTGAGCTGTGCGGTGGGCAGTGCTGAGGCATCCTTTCTGTCCAAGCTGCGTGATGGTGGCAGGGCTGCAGCAAGGGGCCAGCCCGCAGCTCACCTCCCCACTGAAGGCTGCTGAGCCACTGGCCAGGACGCAGGGGGAGAGTCCTGGGAGAGCCAGACAGGGTCCTCTGACATCCACGGCTGTGCCAGTGAGCTGTCTGGATGAGAGGTTCGCTGGGCTGCCACCTCCGGGGCGGAGGAGGGCAGAGATGGGGTGGTCCACACTTCTACAATGCTGTAGTCTGGATCTTTCTTTTCTTCTTTTGGGACAGGGTCTCACTATGTTGCCCAGGCTGGCTTCAAGCTCTTGAGCCCAAGTGATTCTGCTGCGTCCGCCTCTGTAGTGGCTGGGATCACAGGTGTGACTCCCCATGCCAGTGTACAGTTTGGATCTAAATATTCCCCAGAGGCCCATGTGTTAAAGGTTTGGTCCCCAGGATGGTGATCAGGAGGTGGTGGACCCTTTAGGACCCTGGCTCCTCCTCATTCTCTTTTGTTCCTTAGCTGTGAGGTGAGTTGCTCTTTTGTTTTTTGGTGCTAGAGATTGAACCCAAGACCTTGCACCTGCTAAGTGTGGGCTCCACCACCAAGCTGGACCCCCAGCTCCCAGGTGAGTAGCTCTGCTTCCCTCATCCCCACCTGATCTGCTGCCTTACCACAGGCTCAAAGCAATGGGACCAAATACCATGGACTGGGACCTCCAGAGCTGTGAGCCAAGAATAATACTTCTCCCTACATAAGTTCAGTGTCAAGTACTTCACTATGTAACAGGAAACGAACACATCATGTTTACAGCCTCAGGGTGCAGGAGAATGACAGTCAGGTGGACCTGGAAGGAAGAGATCTGGAGATCGTTCAAGAGCGCTGTGTTCGGGAACCTGAGGTGGCAATGGTAAGAGGCTGGGGAGCAGGCATTTGGGAACCACATGAGAGGAGATGGAGGGGGAATATCCACTCAGGGAGGGGCGTCTGGAGGATCTCAGCCCAGCTCCATGAAAGAGTTGCCTGTCCTACCTGTGGGCATCGCGGTCCCACCAGCGAAGCTAAGAAAGAGTGGCAGTGGCTCCAGGAATGAAAGGCCAAGGCAAGCAGTGCCACACACTGCACGTTCCCGGCCCCACACTGCACGTTCCTGAGGTGCAGGTCAGGCCGGAGCTGGAGGAAGACCCTGAGCTTTGAGGGAAGTGAATTTGAAGGTTGGATTCAACATCCAACAATAAGACTCAAGCTCAACACTAGTACTTTTGTTTAAAAAACAACAACAACAACAACAAAAAACTACTTGGAAAACTGATTCCTATGAAAGATGTTGCTAAGGGATCGAGGGAGTTCTTACAGAAAGCAGAGGCACCAACGCTGCTTCCCGTGTTGGCCCATTTGACAAACTGGTTGCCCCTGGATTTGCCCAGCACTGGGGAAGGGGCCACCACCTAACAGAGCCAGCCTCATGCCACACACTGTGCCAGCCCTGTGTGTCATCTCACTTCTTCTCTGCAACCTCCCAGGAGCAGGGAACTGAGGACCCAGGGCTGGGGGGACTTAGCTTTGCTTGTGGCATGGGGTGGGAGGAAGTCACTTGCAGTCCAACCTGGGGTACTTTTGACAGTCAAAGTGGCACTGCTAA